GAGAGAGAGAGAGAGAGAGAGAGAGATAGTCAACCTATTCTATTGCCAACTGTACATAATATCTTTGCTTCTCCAGGCGGGGATTCTGTCTTAGAGGTTGTCAGACATAATCCTAGGGACGAAGCCTCGCTCTACTGATCGATCGGTTAAGTACGTTCCCGTTTATCCGGATCTGCCTCTCAGAGCTTGCTGAGCAGGGGGCAGACTCACGAAGCAGTTACGCAAGCACTTACGAACCTAGGGCCACATTCACGAAGCAGTTATGCAAGCACTTACAAACCTGGACATCTTTTTTCAATCTTTGGCGGCTTTGTTTATACATATTAAACAGTTAATGGGCTCCGAAGCACCAGAAGCTTATTGTTTATAACAATAACAACAGTTGATTGGGAAGTTTTCATGCTTGTAAACTGTTTAATAAATGTAACCAAAGCCGTCAAAGATTGATGAAAGATGTACACGTTCGTAAGTACTTGTGTAACTGCTTCGTGAATCTGGCCCCAGGTTTCCCTGTCGTAACTACACTGTTTTACAATGATGGTAACAATTTACTTCTCACGACAGTACCGATTTGGATAGTTATAGCGGTTTGCAGATAATGCGATATCATTCCTTTCCTTTTTCCCTCTCTCTGATACTATTTGCCTCTCCATTGCTATCATCTTTCGAATTGCAGTGCCGAAAACTCACTCAAGCACACAGGGTCCTCGCGGCTGAGTGGACAGCGCTCTGGAGTCGTAGTCCTACTGGGCCAGGGTTCGATCCCCGGCAGAGGCAGAAACAAATGGGCACAGTTTCTTTCAGTCTACTGTGCCTGTTCACTTAGCAGTAAATAAGCACCTGGGAGTTAGACAGCTGCTACGGGCTGCTTCCTGTGGATGTGTATGCGTGTGTAAGAGAAATATATGTAGTAGACATAATAGAGGAAAAATCAATTGGTTAGAAAGGCGGGGTGCAAGAGCTAATTGCCCAATTCTACAGATACAAATAGCAAACACACACACACACACACACACACACAGAGGGCTATCATGGGCTATGATAGAGCCCAATAGGCTCAGGAATCTGTACACCAGTTGATTGACGGTTGAGAGGCGGGACCAAAGAGCCAGAGCTCAACCCCCGCAAGCACAATTAGGTGAGTACAATTAGGTGAGTACACACACACACACACACACACACACACATACACACATTGAGGGATTGAGGGATACTAGAGGGATACTCAGAGGGATTGACAGAGTGGACATAGACGAAATGTTCACACGGAATAATAACAGAACGAGGGGACATGGGTGGAAACTGGAAACTCAGATGAGTCACAGAGATGTTAGGACGTTTTCTTTTAGCGTGAGAGTAGTGGGGAAATGGAATGCACTTGGGGAACAGGTTGTGGAAGCAAATACTATTCATAATTTTAAAACCAGGTATGATAGGGAAATGGGACAGGAGTCATTGCTGTAAACAACCGATAGCTGGAAAGGCGGGATCCAAGAGTCAATGCTCGATCCTGCAGACACAACTAGGTGAGTACAACTAGGTGAGTACACACACACACACACACACACACACACACACACACACACACACACACACACACACACACACACACACACACACACACACACACACACACATGATCCTCTCCTTCTCCTCCTCCAATCATTCCGTTTCTTTCGTGATTACTACCTCACCTCGTAGCTTGCTCACTAACATAAATATCAGAGGCAGAATACCTGAAATTTTTTACTCCATTTGTAGATGAGACAAATATTCTTATTCCACTTGTGTATAGTCATGTGTACAAATCACAAAAACATTATAACACAGACATTTATTTATTTGTTTATTTATTTATTTATTTATTTATTTATTTATTTATTTATTTATTTATTTATTTATTTATATACAAGAAGGTACATTGGGGTTAAGAGAGAACATAGTAATGATGATGATTTTACATTCTCGTAAAGCCACTAGCACACACAGTGTTTCGGACATGTGACAATGTCCGAAATAAGGAAAGGAAATAAGGAAAAATAGGAAAATAAGGAAAACGAGAAGAGGAAATTCCTTGTGTACTTTCATATTAATCAAGATGATCCTTCTGAAGACGTATTTAATTAATACGATTAATACGAAAGTATGGATTTCCTGTCTTATTTTTCTCCTGGGTAGGAGAATTCACGAATCTCCTGGATTCGTGACGAAGGGTCCCGTGGCGCAGTTGTCTACGTCTTTGGCTTACAATCGAGATGCTTTGCGTTCATTTTCTTGGCAGGACAGAAAGAGTTGATAACATTTTCTCTCACCTGGTGGCTTAGTTCGCTTAATAGTAAAATTAATTTCTGGGAGATAGGCAGCTGTTGTGGGTGGCATCCTGTTAGTAGTTAGCATTTGAGAGGCCTAGACACAGGCTTGCTTTCCAAGGCAAGAAGAATTAAAATGATTGAAATGTGTTCTTGCTTGCTCCAAATTTTTATATCATCTATCCTTTATATTTCATCATTTTGATAAGTTTTTAAAATTACAGTTATTACTACTAAATAAATTTGATATATTATTTTTAATTATGATCATATGTTTTTAATAACTCCAAGAGAGGTAGAACTACCACAGACTTACCCATTTTGTTCTCAGAAAATGTTGGCAAAAATAAATAAATTTCAGAAAGGAATGTTAGTGAAGGTCCCAGCACTGTGGTAATGAAGCAGTCCTTGGAGGTGAAAATAATGGCCAACGAGCCCAGGAATCCTGGGATTAATCTCAAGACTCGTTGGCCGGAGATTAATTAGAGATATCTTCACTTTTTCGGCGTTCTTCTTCCTCTCTCTCTCTCTCTCCAGTGACTTGACTCTCGAAGAGATTGACTGGCCTTGCCAAGAGAAGACATTTTTATCTTTCAGTCAATGACACCTGTTATTCCTAGCAATTTGCAATCCCAAGATGCAGCTTCCATGAGTTGCATCTCTTATGCAGGCGATGAGTCACAATAACGTGGTTGAAGTATGTTCACCAATCCACACACTAGAAAATGAAGGGACGACGACGTTTCGGTCCGTCCTGGAGCATTCTCAAGTCGATTGTGAATGACTTGAGAATCACAATCAACTTGAGAATGGTCCAGGACGGACCGAAACGTCGTCGTCCCTTCATTTTCTAGTGTGTGGATTGGTCTGCTTCTCTTAGATAGCTGTTTCTAAGAATTTTATCTTCCATATACTTAGTGTTTTATGGTAGTCTTAAAGAATCGAAAATCTATACGTACTTTTCAAACATATTTTTTTCTCTTGCTTTTCCAAATTCTTGTTTAGATTCACTAAGAGCTAAGTGTGAGTAATACGATAAATAATACTAATACACTAATACACTAAAGGGCTAATACATTTAAGGGCTAATACATTAAAGGGCTAATACATTAAGGACTAGTACATTAAAGGGCTAATACATTAAAGGGCTAATACTTTAAAGGGCTAATACATTAAAGGGCTAATACTTTAAAGGGCTAATACATTAAAGGGCTAATACATTAAAGCGCTAATACATTAAAGGGCTAATACATTAAAGGGCTAATAGTGTTTCCTTACCACACCAACCTGATGTATATTTGCAAGAGTTCCACACTGTTCTCTCAGTCATCAGTGCACCGAGAGCTCTTATTCATGCTAATGTGTAATTTCTCCTTTCCAATGGGCTGGACGGTAGAGCGACGGTCTCGCTTCATGTGCAGGTCGGCGTTCAATCCCCGACCGTCCACCAAGTGGTTGGGGCACCATTCCTTCCCTCTTCCGTCCTATCCCAAATCCTTATCCTGAACCCTTCCATGTGTTATGTGGTCGAAATTGAGGGAAATGTTGATGTGGTTGACGGGTGACGGTTGACGGTTGACGGGGGGAAGGGGGGGGAATTGGTCGTTTTGCACCACAGGTGTGGAGACAGTTGTCCCCCCTTCCCCCCTACCCCCCCCCCCTACCCCCCCCCCCCTACCCCCCCCCCTAACCCCCCCTCCCCTCCTCACCGTGACCTGTAACAAACACGTAGGTTGCACAAACGCTGTCACCCAGATGGCTATAGGCAGGATGGTGATGACGCTATCACATCCTGTTGTTGTGGGGAGCGCTCGGAGTTGATATCCTTCAGCTGATATCCTTCTAAGATCGCAGCAGTGCGTTTATCAACTGCTTTATTTAGTTGACAAGTAGGATGTTAAAAATATATCTTTCACATTGAAGAAATGTTAATGAAAAACACACACACACACACATATGAGTGCACATATACACACTTTCATATGTATATACATGCATATACATACATATGCATATACATCTACACATACACATACATACCAGACTAGACCCCGAGCTGAGAGGTATAAGCAACGAGGAAAAACTACTGGAATTTAAACCTAAAGGCACTGGAGTACATAAGACTTAGGGGAGACATAATTACCACATCCAAAATTTCTTTTAAAAAATTACCAGTTTGGTAAATTTTAAAGTACTCCAAAAACAATTGCCTTTTTCTCCTGGGATAAGAGTGCCACCAGTTTTTAGAAGGAACTGGGTTCTAGGCTAATGGAAACAACAAGGGACCCTAGAGCTGCCAGCTTCCTTTTCCAGCGCCTCAGCGTGGCGATACAGAGGGGAAATGTACACGGCATCCAGGGCTCCTGCCAGCCATCTGAGGAGCTGGAGGAACTCGACAACTTATGATAACCATCTTTGTACTCTATATGGAACTCCCTTTTTGTAACAAAGTTTAAATAAAACAAACATATATGTTTATATACAAAAGAATGTGGGGTGGTAGGAGAAGAAAATATTAAAATGTTCAGTGAGAGTTCATAAGGTCTTCTCTGAATACTCCTTATTTTCTTCTCCGAGGCTATGGGTCCCTTCACTTGCAACAGAGGTGGTACCCTCACAACTTTATATATATATATATATATATATATATATATATATATATATATATATATATATATATATATATATATATATATATATATATATATATATATAACCACACATAACGCATTAGAGGGAATGTTTAGGTCCCCTCCAACACAGTTTCTGTGTGCTTTTCTCCTACCACCCCCTTCCTTTTATCTTTTGTTCTGTTTTATTAGATACTTAAAGGTTACAAGATGTACATTAGTTAATACAATGAGTGCTTAAAGGTTATGGATCTCTTGAAACTCCTTCTCTTCCGAACAGTAACCGAGGACTCAGCAGGCGTTTTCCCTCTGGATCGCCACACTGAGGCGCTGGAACAAGAATTATGTTCCAATAATATATAATATATAATCATAGTCGGACTATGAAAGAGCACAGATATTATATGAAAAGTTATTTCACAGAAGGTCGAGTCTATAGAAGGCAATTTGGCCTTTGACCGATGTAGTGAGCTTAATGACCCTAAGGGCACGTAGTCGTTTCACGTGACAGATCCATGGTCTAGGAGATAATGAGTTATTAACATTGACTGAAATTTTTGTTTAAAATTTTGTCATCAAAATATTGCCAAATTCGATGACCTTTCGTCCAAAATCACTGAGTGAAATAAGACATTTAAAAGTGATAACGTATTGGTCAATTCAAAAATTTGGCCCACAATCTGTCAAATCTGATTTAATATTAAAAAATATGGTGTTTCTATGACACTGCAGATTGTCAAGAACATTTTAGTGCCTCTGAAGAACAGTCACATCTTACAAGAACATGATCCTATTCCCCAAGAACAGGATATTCTTCAAGTCCTCCCACAGTTGTTTAAGAGGCCTACTGAACCTCGTAGTGTCCCACAACCTGACTAGTGGGAGTCTAATTGGTCGTTCAGTATTGAAGCTGACTTCCTGAAGCTAAGTGGATCATTACCCTTCACGGTGTCTTATGACTGAGATCAACTTCCTCCTGTAGACGCAGACGAAAGCGATGGTGAGAAATAGAAGCAGCAGCTCCACAGACGTCAAGCACCAAGCTGTCAAATTCAATTCAAAATAAAAAAAATTGATTGAGGTATAAATACACACAAAGGGATGAGGCATATATATATGCGAACAAGCCTGAATGGTCCCCAGGACTATATGCAACTGAAAACTCCCACCCCAGAAGTAACTCGAACCCATACTGCCAGGAGCACAATGCAACTGGTGTATACAGGACACCTTAATCCACTCGACCATCAGATATATATATATATATATATATATATATATATATATATATATATATATATATATATATATATATATATATATATATATATATATATATATATATATATATACACACATCACAAACAATCAACATTTTATGGAACATTCTGAGTGATAGACATATACATTTCTTCATTTACACATGCAGTTGAGATGTTGAAAATATAACGTAGATATTTTGGGGATATGTCGAGTTGAGACGTGTTCCTGGCATAAGAGATACATTAAGCTTACTAGGTAATGGGTAACAGGTTTAAAGTATCTAGAGTGTCCCTGATTCAGGTACTCACCTAGTGCAATCAAAGGCTCTCCTAGAACCCCGACAGGTTCATCAGACTCACACCATTTTATTTCACCATCACCCAGCACCCGGAAGCCTCGAATAGAGAAGCTGGAGCCACTTACTAGTTTCTTCTGGGCAAGTCTGCCATTCACTCGCACCTAGAAAACGGGAGATGGTGTAGCAAATGTCTTAAAATAGTATATTTCTTTCAAATTCAAGTATGTTTATTGAGATAAGCAAGAAATACATCTCAAAGGGATAGAGTAGCTTAGGCTATTTCTACCCCCCCCCCCAAGTATATTCCTTTACAACTTTATAATAATATATTCTGAGGATTTGAATAAAATGCCCCAAGAGAGGGAGGGAATATAAATGTTGGTGGTAATCTTTTTTTTTGTAGACATGTTATTGAACATGTCAGAAAGGTGAGATCCGTAACTTCAACATGATGGGTTTCGTAAGGCTAGAATGGTTTTTTTTGGAAAAAAAAAATTGTAGGTTGTGGGAAAACCCATAACGGGTTTTTCGTAAGGCTGAAACCCAAAGTGGTGGGTTTGGTTAACTCTCTAAGCATTTTGAAATGCAGAGGGAATACAGTTTAGATTGATTGATTGATTAAGCCATCACTTGAGATGGCATGGGCATGAATAGCCCGTAAGTGGTAGATGTTTAGAGGGAAGGAATTATCAGGGGAAAGGGCCATGCCATTACTACAATATAGCACTTGGAAGGGATCAAAATAAGTATTTGGGATGGGACGGGGGAAAGGAATGGTGCCCAACCACTTGGACGGTCGGGGATTGAACGCCGACCTGCATGAAGCGAGACCGTTCAGTCCAAGTGGTTGGGCTGATAGTTTGAGTTTGTTTAATGTGTAGTGCTTTGTCAATGTCTAATCTTCTAATGTCATTGTATCCATCGATTATTTCAGTGTTGCTACGATATCTCTGGTGCAACCCGTTCTCGCACTTGCCTACAGTCAATATTGGCTTATTTAATAAGTGCATATGTGACATACTAATTGATTGTGAATATTTTAGTTTACCTTGAAAAGCTTCATAGAGAACACCGACCTCACCTAACCTTCTTAGTATGTTAAGATAAGCATCTTATTGCTTCTTAATTACAATTATTACTTAATCAACGGTGTAGGTTAAGTAATAAGCTCTGGTGACGATCTGGTTGAGAGTAAAGATTATGTTTGTTGATGGGGTCTTGTTGCTTGTGTATTGTCAGGCGCCTCTTGAAGCGAAAAACATAAGGTATATAGAGAAGATTCCTGCTAGAATGATGACCATTCTAGCACGTGTGTATCACGCATGATAATGGTCCAAGATGGACCGAAACGTTATCGTTTCTGCCTCTTCTGATGTGTAGTTTGGTTATCATGTCTTCAGCCTCGTTTTAGTGACTCATCGTTTTCATGCCTGTATCATTTATTTTACCCTTTCTGTCCTATTCAGTAACATATATATATATATATATATATATATATATATATATATATATATATATATATATATATATATATATATATATAAGACTATCCTCTTTGAATGGTGAAATGTATAGCCGTAGCGTTTTCAACCCTCTTGGGGTCGTTATCAAAGGTTGTTTGAAGGAGAATTGGAAGAAAAAGGTCGCTAAATACAAGGCCGTTACATCAAGGCCAATTGGAACCGGAACCTGGGAGAGGGAGGGAGGTTATTTAGCAGGCAGAGAGATGACAGATATATCTCTGTAAACAGAAAACTCTACGGGCTCACCATAGCCCGTGCTACTTGGAACTTTGACAGGAAAAATAGGGATTAAGAAGTGGAACGTGAGAAATAGAGGAAGAACATAATATATAACAAGGCATAATTAATAATAACTTCAGAAAGATACTCAAAAAATGATGTCTGGAAGTATTAGTGGTTAGTAATTTCCCTATTAAATTAGATAATACTTAGAGGCATTTCCTGTCTATAATATTTTGATAGCAATTTTTAAAATTTTTAATTGTTAATTTTAAAGTCATACATACCTTTAGAAGAGACTGTGAATAAGTGACGTAGACTTGGCTCCATACAGACTGGCTGAAGTGTGATGAGGGTAATATTGTGGTATACGATCGAGGCTCTGTAGTGATCTCAATTCCATCGAAGTTGACTCCAGGATAGACGAAGAAGGAGGAGAATCTACTCTCAGTCTTGGGGAAGAGCTTGTGGTGAGCCTTCAGACACCCTGAGGGATGTGAAAAGTAATTGACAAGTGGGTGGTTAGGTTATCTTGAGAGGTTATCTTGAGATGATTTCGGGGCTTTTTTTATTTATTAGTGTCCCCACGGCCCGGTCCTCGACCAGGCCTCCACCCCCCCAGGAAGCAGCCCGTGACAGCTGACTAACACCCAGGTACCTATTTTACTGCTAGGTAACAGGGGCATAGGGTGAAAGAAACTCTGTCCATTGTTTCTCGCCGGCGCCTGGGATCGAACCCAGGACCACAGGATCACAAGTCCAGCGTGCTGTCCGCTCCAGCCGGACCAGCTCCTCGACCGATCGGTTACCTAGTTGTGTTTTACAGAGGGCGGGGTTATAGCTCCGTGGCCCCGATTCCCGAGCTTTGGTATGTGGTGCATTGAGGTTTCATTACACTGTCCATATTTGTCCTTGATGCTGTGAATTAGTGGCTGGTTCCACTACTTAATGGTTGCTCATTCCATTCTCACTGCATTTCACTGCATATATCTGTTCATTTGTGTTTCCAGCTTTTAATCTTTCAAAAATTCATCCTTCTTTCTCTTGAGCCTTAAGGACATTGTCGCAGAATTCACTTATGTTCGTTAGACAATGCTAAACTCAAAATAAAGTTGGTCCTCTTCAGATGTTCCTCTAATGCCTTAGTTTTACATGGTATTTAAAATAAGATAAAGACAGGAAATTCCTATTTATACAGATAAGGGTGAGGGGTCAGTGGAATCGACAGATTGAGAAAAACTTCCTTTCAACCAAAGTATAGTTTTCAGTATGTAACAGTGATACAGGTATACAAGTTAATTTGTATACCTTGGTTATCTTCATAATTCATGGGAAATGTATTCATACATGTGGTAAGGGATGGGGGGGTGGGAGAGAAGGGAAAGGAACTATTAGGAGAAGGCATCAAGCCATTACAACTATATAACACTTAGAAGGGGTCAGGATAAGGATTTGGGATGGGACGGGGGAAAGGAATGGTGCCCAACCACTTGGATAGTCAGGAATTGAACGCCGACCTGCATGAAGCGAGACAGGTCGATCTACCGTCCACCCCAAGCTGTTGAACAGTGCACAAGAGTGTGCTTGCAAAATCTAATGACGAATAACAGTACCAAACACTTACCTGCATTAGGACAATTGAGAACGATATCTGCTCCACCGCTGATGGACAGGTTTACGAAGAACGGGGACTGAAGAATACGTTGAACTGTCTGGACAGAATTCATTGAATCCGACAACATTATCTCGAGTGCATTGTGTCCGCCTGACGTCGTGTCCACAAATATATCTCTCCAGATAACATTCTTGGCTCTGTTAATAACAGGGAATGTTAAACCCTCGCAGGTTAGATTGGACCTTAACAACCCTTTGAACCACCAGTCGGTAAATATGCAGTTACCGGAGGTTTGGGAAATGATGGTAAGATTAATTTCACAGACAGAAGTGATGTTGAAGAAGCTGATTAAGAGTGTGTCGTGGAGGAGTAACTCAGTCCATCCATCAGACAGGCGTCTGACTTCACAGTCTGTGGGAGAGAAGGAATAACAAATGTGTTAATTTTGTTAATTATTGAGGGTGTGTGTGTGTGTGTGTGTGTGTGCGTGTGTGTGTGTGTGTGTGTGTGTGTGTGTGTGTGTGTGTGTGTGTCTGTGTGTGTGTGTGTGTGTGTGTGTGTGTATATATATTCACCTAGTTGTGCTTGCGGGGGTTGAGCTCTGCTCTTTCGGCCCGCCTCTAAACTGTCAATCAATCACCTCTTACTGACTACCAACTAACAATTTTTTGTCACACACACACCCAGGTAGCAACTCGTAACAGCTGTCTAACTCCCAGGTACCTATTTACTGCTAGGTAACAGGATACATCAAGGTGAAAGAAACCCTACCCATTCTTCCTCGCCGGCGCCGGGAATCGAACCCGGGCCACAGGACTACGAGTCCCTTGCGCTGTACACTCAGCTACCAGCGCCCCCTGTGTGTGTATGTATATGAGACTACTGTTGCTATTCTTGCTTTAGGAAGCAATTCCTTATCGTTATCACCAGCATAAAATAATTACTTGATTCCACACTGAACTACACAAAAAAACTGGGAAATAATCCGCATGAATTTACCTCATAAACCATCACTACCCAACCGTATCTGACCCTTGCATCCCACTCACCCAATGGCCGCTTGTGGGGCTCTAGTCCTTGGGCCACCGACGTTAACAGCAACACCATCAGCAGATGCATAACTTCGATACTTCGATCCCCTTAGAGGGCGTAGGAGGCAGGTCTTGTCGTATACTTGTGTGGGCGGACGGGTATGGTAGGTCCTCGTGGTCGTGGCCCTTGTGGCTAGGGCGGGACACTGGTACTTTGGCTACAAGCTGTCGGACAGCACTGTTCTATGCTTCCTACTGGCTGCCAAGCGCTTATCAGCGTGACTTTTGTCATATCCTGTAGCTGTGTGATGAAACTGGCGCTATCTCTCTGTCTCTGTGTCTCTGTCTCTCTGTCTCTCTCTCTGTCTCTGTCTCTCTCTCTCTCTCTCTCTCTCTCTCTCTCTCTCTCTCTCTCTCTCTCTCTCTCTCTCTCTCTCTCTCTCTCTCTCTCTCTCTCTCTCTCTCTCTCTCTCTCTCTCTCTCTCTCACACACACACACACACACACACACACACACACACACACACACACAAAACACCAAAAAATGCTATATTACGAACTCCCGGAAGTCGGGACCAAATGTCAAGGAGCACTTTCCTACCCACATGTGGTTGAGTACACCTCACTTACAACACTCACTATAACCCTCTCATGAACGTCAAAATTCTCACGTCTCATTATACACAACACTATACATTATACACAGCATCCTGCAGAGATCTCGCTAGAGATACGATGACAACAGCTCGGCCGTCGAATAAAAAGTTTTTCTCCGATTTGGTGAGTTTTGATTGGCTGAGTTACGAAACAGCACGACCAAAACTTGACTTTCGAGGCGTAATTGAAGAGATTCTTAGATAAACGACTCGACACGAATGTCGTTTAAGTAAACGACTCCTCTGTATTTATTATTTTGAAAGGTTAGCAAACTGTTAATTGATGATTATTTAGACTTTATTTAATATATTAATTCGAACGTATAAGAGCCTCTAATTGAGTAAAATATTCAAACTATGATTCAGAGGTTGACTTTTTGACCAGAAAAAATAGTAGCTATTTGGAAAAAAGTTGACTATTCTCCTCTAATTAGCAACGCTTGTTTAAGTTAAGGGTAGTATTAGGTAGTTATAATTAGGTTAGTTGTCGTTAAGTTAGGTTAGATTAGTTGTGGTTAGATTAATAATAATACTAATAATAATAAATATAATAATATTTTATAATTATTTAGATAATTAGTTCGGTAATTAGCAACAAGGACTGTTAACCAACCCTTTTTTATATTTGATCTGGATCACATCTGGATCAAGGGAGCCGGTCGGCCGAGCGGACAGCACGCTGGAATTGTGATCCTGTGGTCCTGGGTTCGATCCCAGGCGCCGGCGAGAAACTATGGGCAGAGTTTCTTTCACCCTATGCCCCTGTTACCTAGCAGTAAAATAGGTACCTGGGTGTTAGTCAGCTGTCACGGGCTGCTTCCTGGGGGGTGGAGGCCTGGTCGAGGACCGGGCCGCGGGGACACTAAAAGCCCCGAAATCATCTCAAGATAACGCTAATGCCACAGTTCAAGCATTTGTTATTATACATAACTTCAAAAGATGTTATGTTAGTGTGATTTTATTGATAAATATTTTTTGTGGGTCACTGAACTGTGGTTTGCAGCCTTTTCCTGATTCAGCAAACAATCCAACAGCCTAATTGGTCATCGGATCTCAATCCATCCCGTCTTTAGATCTAAGACAAAGGTTCGGATAGTTTTGAGAATTTGGTCGAGTTATGTACATTTTATTTTGCCTCAAGGCTGGAATGGACCAATTTCACAGAAAATTTTCCTTACATAAAATTACCTTACTATCATTAAGGATCAAAATATTTTTAAGATCAACACCCCTTGGTATCTAAGATAATTCAAGAGGATCACCAATGATATGTATGATACGTTTAGCGCTCCTGGTATACATGATATATCTTGAGGTTATCTTGAGAAGATTTCGGGGCTTTAGTGTCCCCGCGGCCCGGTCCTCGACCAGGCCTCCACCCCCAGGAAGCAGCCCGTGACAGCTGACTAACTCCTTGGTACCTATTTACTGCTAGGTAACAGGAGCATCAGGGTGAAAGAAACTCTGGCCATTGTTTCTCGCTGGCGCCCGGGATCGAACCCGGAACCACAGGATCACGTGTGTCCAGTGTTCTGTCTGCTCAGCCGCCGGCTCCCGATATGTCGAGAGGAGTACGCCCTGGTATTTAAATTTCGAGTAATCACCCAAAAATGGAACCTAAAATACAAACTTAAACATTCATAGACCTAACATAGTACACATATGTACTATATTACGCCTCAGATAGCGTGCATTAGGACTAGGAAGGTTAGGTTAGGTTAATTTAATTTGTCTTTGCAACATAAGGAGAAAATCTTTTTCCGATTTGTCCAAATTCAATAGTACCGATTTCTACTTTCTAATTGTTTTATATGTCGGTATTTGTACTATTCTCCTCATCCTTCCTATAAGTAGTAGGCATCCATCAGTATCAGGAGACTATGGAGTTGTGCTCTGGTTGTCAGTCTGGAGTGGCTTCTCCAGGGCGCAAAGCCAGGGTAGGATGATACAGGCTAGAAGCTGTTACCCATGCAGCAGGTCCACCCCTTCTAAACGCCGCGGAAAGTTTCCAATGGAAAGACAAATGCCAATACACTATAAGTCCTTCCTATAAGCACTATCAAAACAGGAGGTTGGGCAGGCATATAATACCAGCCATTAACGACTTCCGGTACCAGGAATAGAGGCAAAACGATACTAAGCCGCCAAGTCGTTCCTTAGGATGACGTGAGAATTAATCAGCTGTTGCTAATTACATCATAAACTACAGAGGTATTGGAAAATGGCCCCATCGACCCCCCCAAGGATAATATATTCACAAACACGAGAGCCAAACTCATTATCCATGCGAAGGCAACAGGGGGGCCTGACGGCTGAGTGGACATCGCACTGGATTCGTAGTGCTGAGGTTCCGGGTTCTATCCCCGGTGGAGGCGGAAACTAATAGGCAGAGTTTCTTTCACCTTGATGATCTTGTTCGCCTAGCAGTAAATAGTTACCTGGGAGTTAGACAGCTGCTACGGGCTGCTTCCTAGGGGTGTGTAACGAAAAGATGGCCTAATTGAGGACCGGGCCGCGGGGACACTAAGCCCCGAAATCATCTCAAGATAACCTCAAGAAAAAGACAAAAGCTATGTTTTTTATCTTGATTTGCAGCTTTTTTTGGGGTTAGGTTGTAATGGGTTTAAGGTTTGGAGTCCAAGATATCATAGATATAATAATTGAACAATGGTATTGGATGAGATTACTGTGACAATCTCTTGTTAGCTAATGTACACTCAAATTATTGTCGATTAAATTGAGAACTGAGACTATGTTGATATAGGAATAATAATATTGGGTGAAGCTGTAATTGGCTGATGATATTATAAACTGAATTTTATTGATCAGTAATCAGGAAACGGGATAATTAAGTCATTATGAACTAATGTTATTGCAGACTGTAGTTACAATGGATTGCAAACTAAATCTCTATATGCTTCTGTATTCTCTATTTGGCGTTATAATGTAAATTTTCTCTTCCTTGTTTTTCCTCCTTTCTCGTCTAATTTGTCTATCATTTTGGAAAAATTCACGGATTTCACGTTCACGGAAAAGTTCATGGGAAAGTTCCTAGCTAGACGGTGCTATCTAAGTTAGTCGAAGTTCTTCACACTCCACCTACGTTTCCACTTGCGCCTGATTCACTATCTCATGCTTAAATATCTCCCATAGAAAAATCAAACAAAATTTCCGAAGGTACTTCGGAAAATTTCAACACAATATTTCAACACATTTCGTATTTCAACACATTTTCAAGGCAATACAGTCCTTGTTAATACGTGATTATTAATGAGTGATTACGCGTAACCGAATCACGTGTTTTTTTGGTGATTAGTCTGAATCACTATTTTATCTGCACCTTTGATTCGCTTGGAATTAGCATGGGATTGAATCATTGGGAGTCTAGACTGCTACTATGATATCAGCTACATTAAGTATCAAATAGGTACATGTAACAGCACTAATTTGATTAGTAAACCCCTTTGATAATATCTAAGAAGGGAAACCCTTATATTTTTAATATTTATAATTATTAAAAAACATGTAAATCTGTAATTTTTAATTTTTTATATAAAAAACACCAGTCTGTACATAATGGATTTCACAATTCCATTATCATCTATTAATGATATTTACCATTATCAATATTATGAATAAATATATTATTATTCACTGCCATTATATTATCATTATATCATACAGCTCTTCTCTTATTGAGCCTTAACCACCAAACTACCTCGTTATGCACGCTCTTCAAACAGGACAACCTGAACCAACATTGCTAGGGAATTCCAACTCAGACTACGTCCAATTGAGCTTATCACTCGCTAGTGTTTACAAACAGCCCGGATCACAGGAAACGTTTGGGCACACACACACACAGGGGACCAGCGTGCCTTTATGATATCATTTAGCCTCTGATATTTTGAGGTGATATCTTACACGATATACTTCATATTCAAACGCTTTTGTAAATACACATATATATAATATATCCAAATTGAGCCAAATGTGAACCGTTGTGTTCTATATGGTTTCTGTTCCACGTTTTAGCATATTATTTGGAACATTTTAATAGTATATGTGAATATTGTTTTTATGTACGAAAGTCAACTTTTGTACGTTCGCACGAAGAGCTGTAATCCTCCATTTGTGGAGGATTGGTTGAAATATACATGTGGCTTAATATGTATGAAAATTTCCCTATGAATAACTACATGTACTGGCTTAGATATATAAAAGGCGAATGTGTATATCATTGTATAACTGAATATATGACTTTTTTATTTAAATACATTCATACCAAAAAATACTTTAATCAATTTGAATGTAGATTGTTAGTTTACACGTGAAAGATGAAAATTTATTTTAAGATATATGTACAATTAGGTGAGAATACGGGAGAGAGAAGGGATGAGATGATAGTGTTGAATGGAAGAGAAAAGGACAGATTTTGGAGAATGGGAAAGAGACGGGAGAAAAAGATGGAGATGAAATTGAAGAGTGCGACACACACACACACACACACACACACACACACACACACACACACACACACACACACACACACACACACACACACACACACACACACACACACATACACAGCCGGGAGAGAAAATC